ATCTTGGTAGTGGGGCCTGCATTTCAACACTCAACTACAGAGACCATTTGGTCTTCGTGGGGCACCCGTTATGTGCCCAGCACTGAGCTAGATGTCATGAGGCACCGGGCTGCACTGGGCTGGTCTCTGTTCTGGAGAAGAGCTACAAAGTCATTCAGTAGAAGAGCAGGAGAAAGAGGGAGGGTACCCCTTCTGTTCTGTGTGGACACAGCACCAGGCACATACCTTGCCCTTCTCCTGGAAGGTGACATCAGTAGGCATGAGACAATGGAGATAACCATAACCATACCCAATGCTTGCCTCCTTCCTTAGGGTCTTTGCACCCTAACCTCAAGGCAGGATGTGGTGCACTCTGCCCCTTCTGACCTCCTCATGCCTCAAGACCCAGATCGGATACCACCTCCCACATCAGGTGCCCCTGATTCCCACCCCCCAGATATCCCTTAGAAACTAGGCCTTCCTCCCAGCACCCTATGTTTGCAACTGCTCATTGCTTATGTGAGATGCCATATTTTCTGTACTATCCTGGCTGGGGTTTGAGTTTCCTGTTTCCTCTGGTTCTCCTAGGTATCATCTAACAAATTCTACCCCCACCCTGCCCCAGTAAAATCTCATTGGAGGATGACTCAGGGCAATGGGAAGGAACAGGAGGAACTTGGGCAGGAAAAGTGCTACTAGGTTACAAAGCAGCTGGGACAAGTGCTTGTATCCAAAAGAAATGAGGGTGGGCCTGGGGGAAAGCGGGCAAATGGCCAAACATGAATCAGGCAGGGCCAGGATCCAACCAAGGGCCGCCTCTCCTTTCTCTGAGTGTGTGGGGAGGAGAGGAAGCGGGGCCAGGACAGCTGTGCTGGCTGAAAACAGATGTTCTCTGGGCCTGAATGTGGGGCAGAGAGGAGGGAGTGGGTGAAGGAGGAGGGAAGGGAAAGGCCATGGCAGCAAAATGAAACAGCCACAGATCTGCTTATTATTTAATGTTATTTTATTAGGAAATGTCCAAACACACAAAAGTGGAGGGGATGGCATAATGGACCCCCCGGTCCCCACCGCCCCCTTCACAGACACTCCCACTTTGCTCTTTGTATTCCATGTTTCCCTCGGGCACCTTTTTAACAAAAATTCCAGGCATCATATTATTTCACCCATAAATATTTCAGAATGCACTTCTCACATATTAGGACATTTCTCAAAATAACTTCAATATTAGTGTTACTCCGAGGATTGTGAACAATTCCTCGATATTATCTAACACAGCACCTGTCTAGATGTCCTCATCTTCCTCAAAAATGGGCTTTTGGGGCCGGGGGTTTAGCTCAGTGGTTCTGCTGCCTGCCTCGAAAGCGCAAGGTCCCGAGTTGGATCCCTGATACCAAAAAAAAAAAATGGGCTTTTAGGGTCCACTGATTTTAATCAAGATCAAAACCAGCCCCAGACAGCGCATCTTGGTGCAGTGTCTTTTATGTCTCTTTTCATCTTTTTCTCTTTCTCCCTTTCCTATGTCATTTTAGTTATTGAAAGAACCAGGTCCTTAGTCTTGAAGAACAATTCTTGTGGTTGACTTGGTGGGCTGAAGCCTCCACTGCATCCCAAGTTCTTGGACACTGATACGATATTTAGATCCAGTTAACTGAGGGCCAATTACAGAAAGCCCCGGACTTACAAATGAGTTCCATTCCAGGAGGAGGTTTGTAAGTCAGATTCATCTGTAATCCAACAAAGTAAATCTTTGTACACCTGTGAATTCTGTGCCATACACCTGTGAAAGTTCAAAACTTAAAAGTCGGGGGCTTGCTGTATTGTAGCAAACAATTCCTGGGAAGTGTCACGTGCCCCACTGGGTCACATCAGGAGCGCTTAGGCTCAGGTTTTCCTTCGGGGAACACCAGAAAGAATGAGCATGGGCTCTGGGGTTGCCAGACTGATTCCTCGATCAGAAAGCCCCCATCCCATCGCCTGGCCCCCAGTGGTGCTAGCACCTTTCATAGAATCCCAAAACTCTGACAACACAGCCAAGGGTTGGGAGGAGACACACAACCAACAACCAATAAGTAAGCCAGTATACCAACGAGAGCCACGTCTGTGAGGCTCACCGCAGGGGGAGGCGGCTGGCAGCAGCCAGCCATGCACTGGGTGATTGGTAGGGCTCCCTGTGAGGGTGGACAGTACAGTTTGGTCAGAGCCAGCTGGCCAGGCACAGATGGGCTACACATCTAGGGAAGCTGGCACCTGCCAGAGGAAGGAAGGAGGCTGTCGTGCCTAGGGCCAAAGAGCAAGGGACAGGCCTGCAGGAGTATGGAGGGGGCTGCCAGGACAAGGGGCCAGGTGCAAGTGGAGCCAATGGTCCCCTGCCACCTCTCCTCTTGCAGCTGAGAACGTGTGCTCAGAGGAGTAGGGAAATGCCTCACAGGCTGCTCCGAAGAAAACACTGTGCCCATTTCACAGATGAGGCAGGGAGCACAGGAGGGAGGAGCCCAGGCCTGGTGAGGCTCTCCAACCTCCAAAGCCACTGAAGTGGCTACCTCCAAGCTAAGTGGCCTAAGACCCAGGCTCAAGTCCTGAGAAGACCTGGGACCTGGACAAGGACTTCCTCTCCTGTTATGCCTCAGTTTCCTAATCTGTAAAATGGGAAAATTTATAGTATTTACTTCAAATAAATGAAGATAAAGTGACTCAATGTATGTCAAGTGCTTGGGCCAGTGCTGGACAGACAGCTTGGACTAGGTGACCTCTACACTGCTCCTATGACTAGTGACACACAACTCCACAGCAGAGCAAAGTGGAGACCCAGGTCCCCAGCCTCCTGCTGTGGTGTCTGTCTTGGTTGTTGTCTGCTAGAGGCCAAGCTCACAGACTCAACACGACCCAGAAGCTCTGCTTGCTGCAGTAATTGGTCCTCTGTCAAGTCCAGTCCTCTGTCAAGTATTTATGACCCTCTGGACATAAATACTAGCGTAGGGGAAGTAGGGAACAGTGTATGCCGGCAGACACCATAGGACTGATAGGGTTTGTATCTAGATGTCCCCCTAAAGCCTCATTCAATCAGAGGTGGCACTTTTGGAAGGTGATTGGGTTATGGGGGCTGACAGCTGACTTGCTGTTAGGAGGCAGGGTCTGATCAGAGAGGTGGGTCACTAGGAGTGTGGCCTGGAAGGGTCTGTCTCCCTCCCCAGCTCCTCTTCGTATTCCCTGCTTCCTGTCTGCCATGCCATGAGCAGCTCTCCTCCGCCAGGCCCCTCTGCCCCTCATCCTGCCTTGTAGCCAGCCAACTATAGGCTGAAACATGAGCCAAAATAAACCTCTCCTTCCTTCAAGTTGCGGGTGTCAGGTATTTTGTCCCTGTGACCAAGAAAGTGACTAAAACAAGGCTCAATCCACCAAGTCATCCATGAGGTGTGGTGTTGCTGGGAGGAGTGCACTCGCCTGGGGCCCCCTGCCCACTCCTTGCTGGGGGTAGGAGCTGGCTGGTGTGCCTCAGGCCCCTGTGATGCATCCCCAGGCTCTTCTAATGCCTGCCCCAGGCCACTGTCCCACTCTGCCTCCCTTACTCTGAGGCCACCTTCAGCTGCTTGCCCACAACCCTCTGCCTATCCATCCATGCATATCTTGGAGGGGCAGACAGGACCCAAGAGTCTCAGGCTAAACAAAGGTGAAGCTGAGGGGCCCAGCAAGGCCAGCCTGGTCTCCACTTCCAGCCCTGGCCCTGGGGCCTAGATGGGTCCCCCAGGCCAGGACACAGGCAGCTCCAGAGCCTCCTCTCAGACACTGAGGGTTACACCAGACTCCCTCCATCCCCCCACCCCAATTCTGCTCATCGCTGACCCTACTCCCCCTACCCAACCCCTCCACATTCCCAGCTATTTTGGGACAATGGAGACAGCAGATGGCTCCAGCCCTGTTTTCCCCACCCAACCCCCAGGATCTGGGAAAAACCTGAAATCATCACCATCATCATCATCACCATCATCACCATCATCACCATCATCATCATCATCATCATCATCATCATCTGGCCACCAGCCTCACATGCAGGGAGAGGAGGCCAGTGGCTGCCAGGGGCGCCACTCCATCCCCCACCAAGTGGTGGGGCCACATGCTGCCTTCATTCTGCTCAGCTCACATGCCCCAAACCCACCATCAGGCTGGCCAGGCTTGAACGAGCCCAAGCAGCCAGATTCTGCACTGACTCGCTGAGCAACCCCTAATGCAAAGCCAACCCTCTCTGGGCTCAGCCTCCTCCTTGGAAAATAAGGGGCTGAGACATGTGCTTGGTGGGACTAGGCACCTGATGCAGATGCACCAGAACAAGGACTGTGGTCCCACACGGGCCAGGGCATGTGCCAAAGGAGCCCCGTGGCCCAGAATCTCTCCTCCCTCCTCCCCCACTCCAGAGCCCCACGGTGACCCAGCTGCCAGCATCACTGGGCACGACGGTGAGGGGAGCGACCTCCCATGCCCAGCCCTCCCTACCTAGGTGCCACCATACCCGATCGTCAGCACAATCACTTTCATTCATTCATCCAACCTCTTTGAGACCCAGATTCTAGAGGTGCTTTTATTTGCTCAACATCTGCCTTGGCTGTCAAATTGCCCCTTGTCCCCTTCATCTGTCACGCAAGTCTGAATCCCTTGGCTCCGAGTGTCCAAGCTCCTCCCTGATTCTCTGGCCTCCTCCACCTGCACCCCAAGGACACAGGACAAGAGGAACAGCCCACAACACAGCAGCACCTCAGGGCACACACAGGATGTGACGTGGGACCCATACACACACCACACGTGCATCCTTACAGAGAGGTGTGTAGAGGGTGTGCATCACACACGTGTCCACACACAGCCTCACACACATACACTTGCATCATCACTGCTGAGCCTTCCTCTCCCTGTGCTGGGCTGTGTACCGAGCATTTTATCACACCACCAGAAGTGACTAACATCATCACTGTGCCAGACAGATCGAAGACCCAGTCAGGAACACTTTGGCTCCATATAACAGACAACTGGACTCAGACTTAAATAAAAGTTTAATTTCATACAGAACTAGATGCCGGAGGGGATACTTGTAGATGATTGTCTTGGCCTTTCCTTCATGAGGGCAAAGTGGCTTCTCCAGATCCAGCCATCACACCCACATTCATAACAGGAAAACAGGGTATGGAGCTGCAAAACCTCGGCCAGAAACAGCACTATTGGCTTTGCTGGGTTCCCATTCATTGGTCAGAGCTGGGTCACATGGTCACTCCTCCCAGCAGGGTAGCTGGAGAAGGAAGCAAAAGGATCACCTCAACTGGTAAGGACCCATTCTGATCCATCATCTGCGTCAGAGCATCCTGAGGCTTCAAACAAACCTTGAGCTTATTAGCAAGAGGTGGGCAGCAAGGAGCCCCTGGAGATGTGACACCATCAGTTAAAGACCTGGACGGTGCCATGATTCCCTCTGGGACTCTAAGGGACAGAGGATCCAGCCAGGGAACCAGAGCTGTGAGCACTGTTTGAGCCCTGAGGGAGGGACTGAGACAGCAGCCCAGCTCAAGTGTCCCCATCCTCATCCAGCTGGGCATTGTGGGTGACAGGAGCCAGCCCTCAGCCTCTCTGGCCCTCACCCATCTCGAGGGCCTGCAATGCCTTGATGCCGGTTCCCATTCCAGATCCTGGGCTTCCCAGCAGCCTGGCATTTGCCGAGGCCCTTAGCTCTACCCCAGAAGGCAATGGCTCAGCCAGGGCCCTGCCCACCTGCCAGTGGTTCATCGGGCTGCCAGCTGTGGGCACCAGGGCGTGTCTGGGTAGAGCAGGCAATGCAGGGAGCGAAACCTGCAGAGAGACCAGACACAGACTAGATGGTCATCCGTCCCTGCCCCCCACCCACAGGCTCCAGAGAGGTGTCCCGGACATGTCACCTGTAGTGGAGATGATCAGGAATGGGCACTAGTAACACTGGGGCAGATCATTCTTGTTGAGGGGGGAACAGCACATATTCCAATTCTTGGAGGAAGCTGAGCTGCATCCCTGGCTACCACCCATGAAATGCCAGGGTGCAGCCCTGAACGGCAACATTCAAAATGTCCCCAGAATCACCAAATGTCCCCAAGGGGAAAAATCACCCTTATTTGAGAATCACAGGTTTTAAGAAACTTTGAAAGCCAGAGATGGCATACAGAGGCCTCAGCTGAGCCCAGGCCATCTGACTCTGCGCACTGAGTCTCCAGTGACCCCAGCCCCAGGAGGCAGAAACCTGCAGGTCCTAGGGTCTTCAGGCTTAGAGGAAATTTAACACCAATTCTTTGTTTATTTTGTTTTTTGAGACAAGGTCTGGCTATGTAACCCAGGCTGGCTTTGAACTTACAGTGATCCTCCTGCCTCAGCCTCCTAAGTGCTGGGATCACAGATGTCCACCACCACACCCAGTTCAGCACTGATGCTTAAACTTCTTGATAGTGTAGCTCTAGCTTTCACACCTCCTCTGGCAGTTTTTGCCATTAGAAGGCAGCACCTTTTGCCTAGAATTTTGCATTGTTCTCTACATGGAGCCCAACTCTGTGTTCTCAGTATGTGCAGCTTGATCCACAGCCTCATGTGCTCTGTCACATGACCAGTAGCCCTCAGAACCTCAGAGCCTGGTTCCCCCCCAGGGTCACAGATTCCTGTAAACCTAAAGTCCAGATGGAGCCCACAGCAGCCTGGGGAAGGTCCCAACCCTACCCGGCCCCAAGGAACATCGCTGCCCGGTCTCCACACTCAGGGGACGCTGACTTCCTGCTCCTACAACTCTCTCCCCCGGCCAGGCCTGGTACACACTGTCCTGTCCTGCAGGCAGCCCTACAGCTCCTCCATGTCACCCTGCCGAGAGGTCCCTGCCAGCCCCACTGCCCCCACACAGCCAGTGCCCAGTGGTCTCGGGCTCCTTCTGAAAGGTCTTGCCCCTCAGGGCCCAGCCCTCACCCCACCTCCTCCCCACTCACTGTGTCCCTGCGCCCTGCTTGCTCCCCAGTTCCCAGGCCCTCTGTGCATTGCTGAGGAGGGGCTCCTGGGTGAGGGTGCTGGGAGGGGCTGAGCCCCAGGCTGGGGTTGGGCCCTGGCAGCCCCGCCCCTTTCCCCCTCTGCCCAGGCCTGAGCACAGCCACAGCTTCGGGCAGGGGCAGGCAGGAGTTGCACATCCCAGGCTGTGAGGGCTAAGGTGGCAGCCCCCGCCTCCTTCCCTACACCTGTGCTGGGCAGACCTGCAAGAAGGATGGCAAAGAAGCAAGGAGCCCCAAATTCCTCAATAATCCACCCCCAAGGCCTGAAGTTCTACCATCCCTCAGAGCGCCTCTTCACTCAGTGAAGACCGGTCAGTCTTCCAGGGTGCCTGAGGAAATCAGAGGATCAGAGCAGGAAGACCCCTACATATTCACCAGGCCCAACCTTTGAGAGTTACAAATGGGGAGACTGAAAATCAGAGAGGGCAGAACGCTTGTCTAAGGTCCCTGAAACCTACTCCCTCCTCCGTGCAGTCCACCACACAGCCCATCCTACTCCTCTTCCTCCCAGAACCTGCTCTTTGGTGCCAGAGCTCGGCCTCCCACTCCTCCCATGTCTCACTTTCAGCGCCCAGACCCACCTGGAGGGGTCCTCTTCAGGAGAGAAGGGGCCTGGCAGCTTAATGACGTTGAGTTTTCCCTCAAAGACACCATAGCTGAGGGTGACCTGGGCAGAAAGAAGCAAAGAAGCATTAAGGAATCCCACTGGGGACCCGGTGTAGCACGGTGGTAGGTGTATTTTTGTTATTAGTTGGTTGGTGCTGGGAAGGGAACCCCGGGTCTCACATGTGTGAAGCAAGTGCTCTGCTGCTGGGCTCTACCCCAGCCACTGGGGCACAGAAGGGGCACAGGAAGCTCCCCATCTGACTCTGCCACCAGCTTCAGATGCCACCCTGGAAGGTACTATATGGCCTGCAGGGTTCATTCATGCCCCAGTCCATTTGCACCTCAAGAACTCTGCTTACCTGGAGGCCAAATGATGCTGGCCCTAGGGACTTGCAGACTGAGCCTCACAGGGAAGGTCTGTTGCCAGCAAGCTTCTGCCTGTACTACAGCGAGGTTCTGACACTCACTGTGGGCCCTGACAGACCTCCACCACCTGGAGGCCTCTGCTGCACCATGCCAGGGGCAACAGCTTCAGTGAAGAGACAGACACACCAGTGGTTACAAACTGGAGGCCTCTCAGCCTCCCAGGCAGGGCTCCAATCTCTCTCTGCCCCACACTAGCTGTGTGCCAGTTAGTTCATTTCCCCAGGCCTCAGTATCCCCACCACAGGGCGGGGCTAATGTCACACAGCCGGCCCTCTGTATGTAAGTTCCACATCCACGGACTCAATCAGCCATGGATCAAAAACATCCTAACAAGCCGGGCACAGAGGTGCGTGCCTTTAATCCCAGCTGTTGGGTAGGCTGAGACAGGAAGGTCACAAGTTTGAAGCCAGCCTGGACAGGAAGACCCTGTCTCAAAATAAAAATAAAAATTTTTGAGACCCTGTCTCAAAATAAAACTTTAAAAAGGCTCAATGCCAGATCACTTGCCTAGCTTGCACAAGCCCCAGAAGCATGAAAAGATAACAATAGTCAAAAACTTGCACCCATGTTGACTATGTACAGATTTTTTTCCTTCTCATTCCCTAAACAATATAATAGAAAAACAACTTACACAATATTTACATTCAATTAGGTACCATAACTAATTGAGAGATGATTTAAAGCATATGGGAGGATTGTGTAGGTTATGTGCAAACACTGCAGCATTTTATATGAGAGGCTGAACATCCCAGGGTCTAGGAATCCAAGGAGATCATGGGGCTAGTCCTGTGGATTCCAGGTGTAAAGATCACGAGGAGCCAGAGCTAAAGGGGGCATGGTGGGGGTTCAGGAGACCCTAACCATTATGACCTGCTCTCGGCTGCCCAAAATCTGCCCCCCTTTCCTGGCTTGAGAATCTGCAATCCTCATGGGATGTATCACCCCCACACCTCAGGTGTAGACCTGGCCAACCAACACTCCTGCCAGGTGCTGCGATCTGGGGGAAAGCAGAGCTCTGTCCCGATGATAAGTGGGGGGCAGACCTGGGGCTTCCATCCTGTCAGCAGAGGGGTGAGCCTGTCTGAGGACCAGGCCAGCATCCGGGACAGCAGATGGGAGAAGACACAGAGTCCTAAATGCCTGGGCCCAGCCAGACCTCAAGAGCCAGGCCCTCAGCTCTCAGCTCAGCACACTGACCCACTGACTCTTGTTTAACCAGCCCCGTTGACTTTCTGTGACTTGCACTCCGAAGGGTCTGACCACACTGAGGCCCTCAAAGCTGCACAGCCTGTGGGGCTGGATGGCGGGTCTGCAGGGGGAGCAGCCACTCCCTGCCTGGAGGAATGGAAATCTGATCCTTCCCCGTACCCTTGGGGTAGGCAGGGAAAGCAAGGAAACAACTGCCAGGGAAGCTGTGATGCTGGAAGAGGCTCCCGATGGGAAAAGTCAGAAAGAGCCAGGCTGGCTGGGCAAGAGGGATGTGGGGAGAGGGAGGGACAGAGGAAGGGAGGGAGGGACAGGGGAACAGGTGGCAGGACCCAAAGGCAACTCCATCTCATCTGTGCGGGTCCTCCTAGCTGGCACTTGGGGACCAGATCAGAGAATCGCAGCATCACAGACGCTAACCCTTGCGGTTAGAGGTAGAGGGGGCTGTGTCACAGGGGGCACCATTATGCAAGTCCTTTGCCACCTTGGGCCTCAGTTTCCCCATCAATAAGGGATGGCCATACCCTGTAATCTGAGTTTCAGGTTGATTTCGAATCCCTCCGGTTCCTTCGGGGCGACCCTTCCTCCCCTACTGTTGCCACCTGCCCCGGGGCTGGCTCACCTGCTCCAGGAGCTGAGCAGCCCCCAGCAGCTGCAGCGTCTCCAGGTGTGAGTGGAAGAGGGGGCTGGGCCGCAGGCGCCCCCCCAGCTTGCACTCGACGATGTAGCCCACGGTGCAGTCATCGGGCAGCCGGATGAGAGCAGATGTGTCCACGAAGCGGGGACCACTGAGGGACAGAGCTGGGCTGCAGCTGCAGACATGGCCCCTACAGCCAGGCTCCTCACCTCCCAGGAGGACACTGCTGGTCCTCAGCTCAAGCATCGGTCTCTGCACACCCCATGACTCACTCAAGTCAGAAACCTCAGGGAGCCTCAGTGTCCTGCTCTGGGAAATGGGAGTGATACAGAGCCTAGTTTCTCTGGGCTGTTGGGAGGAGTCGCTGGAGTTTGGGTGGGTAAAGACCTTCATAAATGTGTCCTTTCTTTTCTTGCTTCTTTCATACATTCACTCACTCATGTATTCTTTGTCAAGCCTGAGAATCTACTCCCCCAAGATACCATGCTAGGGCTGAGGATGCAGAGATGAGAAATAAAAGCTTACCGCCCTCCATGGCAGCCCCCACTCTGGGAGGACACAGACAGGAAGCAGGTCATTTAGGGCAGGACTGGCACTAAGTTAGAGAAAATAATCCAGAGTGGAGGACTTAGGGAGAGCCAGGTGGGCTTCCCAGAGGATGTGGAAGCTTTTAAATGAGGTCCTGCAGGAGGCACTGGAGTCTTCGGTGCTGAGGAAGGGGAGAGGCTGTCCCCCAGAGCAGGGCGTCAGGGGCCACACACACACACACACACACACACACACACACACACACACACACATACATGCATGCACGCTTAACACAGCACCCTCAGGATGGGGGCAACGCTTTTCTCTAACTCACACAAAGTACCACAGAAGTGGGCAGAAGCCAGGATGGGGCACCTAGGCACAAGGATGACCCTGTTCATGCCTGCCACAAGTGTGCCCACTCACATGAATCCCACCGGGGAGACTTCCCATCCAGGGCAAGGCAGTGCAGGCTGCTACAGTTTCAAAGCATGGAGCCTTGGGGCCAAACTGAGCAGCTGGGTAACCTTGAACCTGGGTGACCTCAGAATTGCTTAACCCCTCAGTGCCCCAGTTTCCTCAGCTATAGAAACAAGGTAACCCCACCTTCACCCCCAAATGTCGCAATGCTTTTGGTGAAGCCCAAGTCAGCTCAGAATAGCCTTCATTACAAGTTCAGGGCAGGGGATTTAGCTCAGTGGTTCCGCTGCCTGCCTCGAAAGCACAAAGTCCCAAGCTGGATCCCCGGTAGCAAAAAATAAATAAATAAACAAGTTCATGGCCTCTGATGTTGTGACTAATAGCCTGCCTGGGAAGACCAAGAGGCCAGGTCTCTGCCCCTGCAGAATGCCAGGGTCCCTCCACCTCCATACTGAGGTTTCCATGACTCCTAGATGCCCTTCCTCTGGGGTTCTCTAGGGCTGTCCCAGGTGAAACGCTACCTCTTCCAAGAAGCCTGTCCCAACCAAAAAGCCCTTCTCTGGGAGCCCCCACACTTAGCCTTGCCCTTCCCTGTGGCACTGCCTTGGCGGAAGCCCTCCCCACCCCTGAGTCGAGTATTACCTGGCCCATGGAGCCATCTTCAAAGCCAGTTTGCGGTTGATGCAGAAGCCAGCGCCTCCTGTGGCGAACCAGAACTGTACCAGCCTCTGGAAAGCGAAGGACCAAGGTGTGGGGTGAGTCTGGGGGTGGGGATGGCCAGGCACCTTCACTCCCAACCATGGCTCAAAGGATCTTTATTTCACAGTCACGAAAGACTTGCTACAGCCTGACAATATTATGCCCATTTTACAGACAAGGAACTGAGGCCCAAAGTCACATAGCTAATTGTAAGTGAGGAGGTCACCAATCTGAATGCAGCTGGATTCTGGTTCAGTGGGATGTGTGATATCTTATCCGCCCAGCGCATCTTGCCTCTTTCCCTGAGAAACTGTGCATGGTCGGAGAGGGAGACGCTGCCGAGTGCCCACCTGCTTCCCTGGGCCACAGGGGTGGGGAGGAGATCCTCGGGAAAGATGGAGCACTTGACCTAGTGATTGGCTCAGCAATAGCCACACGACTTAGGCAAGCCAATCAGAGCCCTTCCCAGAGCGCTATGCTATGAGAAAAAGATGCTTTCTATAGGGTCACCTGTAGGCAGACCCATAGTCCTGATGTGGTCTACACCAAACCACTGCTACTCCCAACTCTTGGGACTAAGAATGGTTTCTTGCAAAAAAAAAGAGGATGAGGCCTCTCCTGGAGTAGCGAACAGACAGTCTTGGGTCCCGTGCAGCCCACAAACCCCACGACAGCTCAATCACAAAAACTAATAAGACCTCTTTAGGTTTAAACCACTTTCTGTCCCCTGTTACCATTACCATCACCTCAGCCAGAGGCTTTCTCCCGTCTCTTCTGTGAAAACCCCAAATTCACCTGGGAAATGCTTTCCCCTGCTGCACCATCTCTGGGTCTAACAAGTTCCCTGAGGTCACCTTTCCCAAGTGCATAGTTGGCATTTCACAGACGCACACAGGAGCAGCGAGGAGAGCCCTGGGCGGGCGATGGGGAAGCCTGAGCTTCCTCCCTGCACAGCTCTGTGACCTTGAGAAAGCCAGGTCCCTCTCCGGGAAGCTGTCACCAGGAGCACATCTACTCCAGTTCCGAACACCAGGGCTTCTCCTGACCCCGAAGTCCCCTCCTCCTACAGACAGTGATTAGTCTACTTCTAGAAAAGCTGCCCTTCTGAGAAAGGTCAGAGCTCAACAACAGCTCCTGAGGGCCTGACACATGAGGGCCCCATAAATGCTTGTCTTTTTTTAAAAAAATTAATGACTGTGTGTGGCTTCCACTTCCAGATAATTACAGTAACAAGAACAGCAGTAGCAATGTTAAGTGCCTTGTCTTGTGCTAAGCGCTGTGCCCCACGCAAGGTGTCCAAGGCATAGAGAAGTGAGGTCACTGGCCTGAGGTGCCAGATCTGGGGCTTACCCCACACCAGAGTGCTTGCTCATTTCGCTTTGGGGATCTGAACAGGCTGGGACACTTTGGGGTTCTGCCACACTCCTGGGCAGAGTTCTGGGACCCCACTTTGAGGTATAATGAATGACAGCATCATACACATTGTCAGGGACAGGGCCTGCATTTGGCCAGACAGGTACTGAACCTGCCCAGGAAAAACATGGCTCAGAAGCTCTGGCAGGGTGCGGTAACACCCCAGTAATTCCAAAAAGCTGGTGGCTGAAGCAGGAGGATCACCATGAGTTCAGAGCCATTCCCAGCTCCTTAGTAACTAGTGAGTTCAAGGCCAAGAACTACATAGCAAGACCCTGTTTCAAAAACACCAAAAAAACTGGGCCGGGGATATAGCTCAGTGCCACCAAGCCTGCCTCCCAAGTGCAAGGTCCTGAGTTCGATCCCTGGTACTACAAAAATGAAGGCTGAGCTGTCTGCACTGATCGCTGACTCCTACAAGTGTCCGTGACATCCTCGGTCCCGTCCCAAGGACTTTCTCAGAGATGGCTCGTTGAATTCTTCTGTGCTCACAACCGCCCTGTGAGTAGGAGCTATTGTCACAGATAAGGAAACTGAGGCACAGAAGGGTTAAGTGACTGGTCAAGATCACCAAATCAGGAGGCAGCAGGGCTGGTGTGTGAACCCACGGAGTCAGGCTCCGAGTGTTGTTGGCCCCAAAGGCAAACTGCTCAGCGAGGTGAGAGGGCAGGGGTGAAGTGTGTGTGCCCCAGAAATCCCTGGTCTCCCCAGGAATGGCTCACACACCACTACCACCACCACCCCAGGGCCCAGGAGGATTTAATTAGGGCTCAGAAGCTGATGAGCTGCTGATAGTTAAGACTTGGGTTTCCCTAGTGAAGCAGATGGTGATCTGGGGAGAGGCAGCACCCCACAGCGCCCCAGCTCCTGCCCCAGGCCCTGAGTGCAGATGGGGGACCTCCTACCTGCCTTTTCCCTGGGGCCATGGGACCCCTAGCGGTTGGGGCCACCCAACTCCTGAAGTCCAGTGGGACCTGGGGACAGGGGAAAATCACGCAACTTTGGGGACATGTTTATACTAAGAAATCCTTCACTGTTCATCTAAAGGTGAAATTTAACTGGGTTTCTGGCTTTTTGTTTGTTTCCTAAATCTGGTGACTCTAATCAGTGTCCATCAGGTACGGGGTTGAAGGTGGTTTGGGGGCCCCCGTTGAGCCAGGGGTCCACTCTCAGGTGCTGGTTAGAGGAGGACCCGGGAGGGGTGCCCAAGGGAGGAGAGTATTCTGGGGTGCCGAACAGCAGCAGTTTACCTGCCCAGCCCTGTTCCAGGATTTTAACAATCTGCACAAAAACGCAGTGACACCAGGTGGCCAGGAGCCCCGCCTTGCAGTCAGGGGCTCTAGTCGCTTATGTGACCCCGCTAAACCACTGCTCTGGGGTGATCGAGGACTCCCCTGCATTATTTCGATCTCCGCACTTCACACACAAGACTGAGGCTCAAAGCCGCCGGCCCAAACTCACAGAGATAGGGCCAAATCTGAAACCCAGACCCCGCCTCTCCTCTCCGCCACGCCCCCTGGACCAACGGCCAATGGGCAAGGAGGAAAGGAAGTACTCACCGTGCGATTGTGCGCCCGTAGCTCAGAGGTGTGGATGGGTCGGTTCAGGCTGGGCTTGCCCACATAGACGTCGCGGCCCTGGGGCAAGGCTTTCAGCAGCTGAAGCAGCGCCCTCGGGTTCAAGTAGTTGTCGTCGTCCACGTGGCAGAACCACCTATGGGATTTGAAGAGTGACAGAGAACTTGAGGGGGCCAGGGCTTCCAGGGTCCCTACAGTCAATCAACAGACAGTTCCAGGGTGGGAGTGGGCAGCTACCTTTAAGGCCCCTGTTTTGTGCCGGGCAGCACAAGCTCTTTGAGGAAGGGGCACCCACTTAGCAGATGAGGACCGAGTCTCTGTGGCTGAGCCAAGGGCCACCCTTCCGGAGAGTCCCAGGATCACGCACCTGAGCCCGCTGGCCAGGAAGGAGTCAAACTCAGCAGCCATCTTGCAGGACAGAGCCGGGTGGCTGTGTTCTGCAGAGCAGTTGGTGACCACAAGGTGGGACCCTGGAAAAATGAGAAGTCAGGGGACCCTGCCCAGGTCCTCTCCACTGCCCGGCCTCAAAGAGCCTGGAAGGGCTGTACTCCTGGATTATACTGGGGAAACTGAAGCCCTGGCCCGGCTGTACTGCCCAAGACTCGGGCCAGGACCCAGGCATCCAGGGCCTCTTCCAACAGCACCCCCCCAGCAAAGGGGAATCCCCAATGTCAGAAGGGCACCCTGATTCCTAGGAAGCCCCAGGCCACAGCACAGCCACCAGCTTTCCCAGGCACCCGCCAACCTCGACCCCTCCTAACCCAGGCGGCCAGTTACCCAGTCTCTCCTGGAGGCCTCTATCCCAGCTGTCGGTGAAGATGAACGTCTGGGAAGGAGAAGGGGG